ATTTCTAACTAGTGTAATTTATTATAGTAAGAGATGAAATAGTTAATTTAAGTAATTACTGAGCTTTTTGATTAACTTGAAAAGTTGGTATTAAAAAGATTCTAATGAGTGTAAAAAAATTAAAAGATTAGGATGAAAACAAATAGAAGTTGCATTAAGTAATATGATAAACTTTGATGAATTTTAACGCAGGCTAATTTAATAACTGAACACTTCTTCTGATTACATGATCCAAACTTTAAAATCTTTTATTTAAGAGTTTGAAGTAGATGAAATATCATTATTTTATTATCTAGCAGATTAAAGTATAGAAATATGAAATTTTACGTTCCGTTCATTTATAGGAGAATAAATCTTAATGTAAAATAATTGCCTTTAATAATGATTCTTCGATTATAGCAATGGATTTATCAAATACAATTAAAATGTACCGGTTTAACATTTGCTATAAGTAATTGATCTTTTAGAAGTAAATTAAATAAATCACTTACAGTTTTTGAGATAATCGAACCAATTCGTACTTGGAAGTGAGTTTGAAGATGTAATGCTTTGGTATGGAAATGAAAACCTATATTATACTTATTAATTTATAAGGAGGAGAAATATTTGGGAGTTTGTTTCCTCATCTCCACAGTATAATTTCATAATCAATGATTAGAAAGATCTGGTTATTTAGTCGAGATATAAGGCTTTTAAATTTTATGAGAAATAATAAAACTGGAATTGCACTTAGAAAATTCAAACCCAATTAAAAATAATGTGTTATAGCATAAATTAATCATCAAATATGTAGTCTCTGCTTGTTAAGATCATGTAGAAATTTTTAAATAGAAAAAAAATAGCTTTGGATGCTTATATAAACTATCCTATCCATTTAGATTAGTGGGGATATCGTATGTGTATCTTTGAGGATGATTTTTTTGTTTTTAAACCAAGATGCAAGGATTATCTATAGATTTATCGTTTGGATGCTTAAAATTAATAGTTTGGACTTATTAAGAACGTAAAAATAGAATCTGCAAGCAATGTTTGCCATAATTATTTTCCCTTATAATTCATTAAAAATAAAAAGATTCTCGTGGATAAGAATGGCAGATACATAAATATAATCAAAATATCACCTACAGGAGATTGTGATACATCATAGAGTATAAAATTTGGAGATTAACTTTTCTATGGTACCACGACGAATGATGGGGAGTATCTTGTAACATGGGATAATAAATCAGCTGAATTACAAATTAGAAAATTTTCAGAATGATAGGTATGTTATTTAGTATCTGATTTAGCTATTTAGAAAAGCTCTAGAATTTTATCATATAAAGGTGTAATCAAAGTTTTTAATACCTTAGCTTTAATTTTATACAGTATAAATAAATTTGAAGAAGAATTATAATATTATGATTATGATATTGAAAAATTTCTGCCAACCCAATCATTTATCATAACAAAGGTAGATTAGATTTATCATCAATTTTAGGCTTGACTCTATTTGAGTGAATTTTGTATATCTAATAGATAAAATGAATAGAATTGATAGATATATCAAAAAACTATGAAGATTCTAATTATTAAAATAGCAAAGGTAAATTTGCCCTTTGAATAATTATTTAGCACCTTAATTAAGATAATTGAATAGATTTGAAGAATCGCTAGAATGTTATATTTATATAATAATTGTATAGATTTGAAGAATTATTGGATTATTATGATATAACAAAAAATCCTGAAATTATTATTTATCTCGGCATAATCTATAGCTAATACCTTATTTAATAAATAGTCTCATCAATATTTCTTTAGTCAGATTGAATAGATTTGATAAAAAAACGGACCATAAAGCAGAGCAATGCCATGTTATAGTGATAATATTAAAATCTAAGCACAACATTATCTGAACTATCATTAAAATAATTAAAAAATTCAAATGATCTATGTGTGATTGATCTATTTGTATAAACTTTATTAGGGCTGTTACCACCACATTTTTATAACCTGGTAATATTAAAAAATTAAGGAGATTTATTTGCTTATGACTGAAAAATTTGTAATTCAAAGTCTTTCAAGAATTATAGCATCGATTCTTTTAATTAATAGGCTAATAAGTGGAAAATGGATGTGAGGGAGACGAGGCCAAGAGAAAAATAGATGAAGAAGTGCCTTAGAACAGACTGATTAGCAATTGGCTAAAAATAGATGAAAAGGAAGAGCCTGTAAATGTAGAACAGTTTGAAAAAAACAAGAAACAATTGAGAAGAGATATTCTGGTCAACAAATCTATTTAAGAAGAAAACCTCACATTATTCTAATAGATATAATTTGGAAGGAAGGATTTATCATTTTTAGTGTGGATGAGTAATTAGATGCAAAGTTTGAACCTTTTGCAGAAGTTTTTAAAGCATTATTTGAAATTACAGCAGTTCGTTGTGTGTTATGATATTAACATTGTGCAATACATTTATTGTGTTACAAAAGAAACATTGAGAATCATATCACAATTTTTGAACAGGACAAAGAAGTACCTGAAATACCTTATTATTATTACTATTATTTCTAGGCTTTTCCTATAGTGCCTATTACAGGTTTAAAATTTTCAAATCTATTCATTATATAGTCTTATCTGTATGATGGTTTTTATATCTTATTCATCTGTTTGAAAAAAGACATGAATGTTTTAACAAAGAATTTGATTTTCGACATCTGATTTAACGCAACTTTATGGATAACTGTCTTTGCTTAATTATACTTGTTGAATAGCTGATTATGAATTTCTTTACTATATAGATAGGAAGGAGTGATCTAGGAATAGGTTTTTGGATACTAATAATGGAACCTTTATTCTAAAATTTCTTCTTGCAATGTCACAACATGGAGGCAAATTTTGATCCTGGTTTTTATCTTAAATACAAACAAAGGAATTAACAGAATCAATATTTACTTATTTAGAAATTAAATTACCGAAATGGCTTAGAATGATTATAAACAATAAGAAAATAAACCAATAATTTGAAGATAAAAAATTATAAAGAGGAGCCAGTACCGCCAATTTGAGTATGAAACCATTCAAATATTATTAATAAGGTCTTCAAAAAAAGATTTATTTTAGCAGGGAATTTGCCTGATAAAGAAGGCATTTATGATAAGCTTGATTTATATTGTTTCTTCATGTAAATTGGCCCTTTTATGTTTCTTTTGGGTATGTTCTTATTTAATTGCTTCATATTGAATGATAAATAATTATGATGAAAGAAAGATTAATGATTTGAATGAGATAAGTTGTTTTGCAATCATTTGAATCTAACTTTGAATTTCAAATTGATTATAGTAATAAAACGTATGATATTTATCTTAAATGTTCCTTCCTTCCTTCCTTCCTTCCTTTAACAATATAGATATTGCGTTTTCTAGAATCAATATATTGGTATCCCAACTCCCTCTAAATTTCAAAATTTTAATTTCTTCAATCATCATAATATTGCACCAGATAATAAAATTTTATTCCTAATATTCGAAATCTATTTATTTGATTTATTTTAAGAATCCTTTCAAGAAATTTTCTTCTCCTATTAATAAATATTTAGATTATAGATTAAATGAGATTTTAATGTTAAAGGTGTTCAATATTTTAGTAGGTTATTAATAACAGAACATTGTTGTATCATAAATATGATTAGAATTACAAGTGTAATGAAATATTCGAGTTCGAGTTCCAGAATTGATGTTTTTTTACTTTATAAATTTCATTTAAAAAATATTAATTTATAAATATTGAAAATGAACTGCTAATTTAATCTACTTTCAGATAAAATAAATTAAGCTAAGGTCTTAAATGTAATCAAGGAGTAATATATATATGTATTTTCTTGCCAAAAGTTAATTAATTGTTTATTTAAGAAACATGAAACTAACAAATTCTAATTCTTGGGGGAATGCAAAATTTCAAATGCAATTTAATAGGAAAATATCATCATTCATATTCTCATTATTGTATTAAATCGTTCAATATTATTTTATTACAATTACACTATAGAAATATTTAAATGACCTTAATTTAATTAGAATTATAGAAATTAAAAGATTTAAAAATGTTCTATTATCTTTTGTTTTACCAGTTATGTGTAATACTAAGTTCAGAGATTTCAAAAAAATGTACTTGTGGGCATGTTCGAACAGAAAAAGAGTGCAAATACTCTGGATTTTGCATTTGGATAATTGATAAATGTATTTTAAAACCCGGTCAATCATACAATACGGAGATGAGTAATTCGAATCAATGCAAGAGATATGCATAAGAGGATTGTCGAGAATAAGAATAATGTGGCTTTTATTTTGGTTAATGTATTGATTTTGTAGATTGTATGGTATTCGATAAAGATAATTGTTAAGAATCTTCATATAAATGTGTGTCTGATGGCTGAAAGTGTGTAAAAATATAAGAATGTAGTGATTACAAAACAGAGAATGGATGTGCCAATAAAAATAAGTATAAT